GCCATCCCTCCGGGGGGTGGGTGGTTTCCCACTCTCTGTCTCTCTGTGCCGCTGTAGTGTGGCCATCCCCCCTGGGGGTGGTTTCTCGTTTTCTGTCTCTCTGTCTCTCTGGCGAGTGCATGTACCCTATAGCAAAAATCTCTCTCTAAAAAATTTTTTAAAATAAATAAATGAATATGTATTAACTCCTTACATATACAGAATTCAGGCAAAGTCTAAATAAATTTAATAAATGAAGTCAAAATAAAATTATATGCAAACCAAATCACAAAACCACTGGAATTCAACTGAGCAGCGACGGAATGTGATGGTGACATTGTGTGGAAACCCAATCAGAGCTCTTCACGAGCACATGCTGTAGCAGGTTCTCAAGGGTCTCCATGCCCAGGCGAGTAGGTGCTGGCTAATGACCCTACTTCTCACGGCCTCTCGTGAATCCTCCGCAGTCAGCCAGGCAGCTCCTTGGCCTCTGCGTGGTGCCAGCCATCTCCTGTGTCAGGTCTACCAATGATTTCTTCTGTTAGCCCCGTAAGACGAAAATAACACAACTTGGCACCATCTCAGAAACAGAAAGCTGGGCTTAAAAACTGAGAAGATGTGGGACCAGCAGTTGGCGAAATAGCTATGTCACTGGACTCCCATGTAGTCAACCGTAGTTCAAGTCCCGGACCCAGTGGCTTAAAACTCAGGCCGGGTGTGTGTGCATGCGTGCCCAAGATCCCGAGAGGAGAATGGAGGAGAAGGGATTGCGGCATGGCCATCCCCCCGGGGGGTGATTTCTTGCTTTCTGTCTCTCTGTCTCTCTCTTTCTGGCCAGCACACACGCCTTGTAGCAAAAACTTCTCAAAAAAAAAAATTGAAAGGAGGGGCCACATGGTATAATGATAAAGGGTGATACTTTACTTTTTTATTTTTTTTTTTTTTGGAGAGATTTTTGCTATAGTGCGCGTGCGCTCGCCAGACAGACAGAGACATAGAGACAGAAAGCGAGAAATCACCCCCCAGGAGGGATGGTCACGCTGCAATCCCTTCTCCTCCATTCTCCTCTCAGGATCTTGGGCACGCACGCACACGCGCCCGGCGTGAGTTTTAAGCCACCGGGTCCAGGACGCGAACCGCAGTCGAGTACGTGGGAGTCCAGCGACATAACCATTACGCCAATTGCTGGTTCCCAAGGGTGATACTTTACAAGGCAATCCCACATGGAAAGGTTCCCAGTTCAAGCTGGGAGACCTCACTGAGCACCCTGGGCAAACTGAAGGCCTGGATGGATCAGTGTGAGGGCCCTGTTGGGGTACTGTCTTTCTTTCTCTGTGTATGTCTCTCTCTTGTTCATGGAATACATACATAAACGTGTGTGTGTGTGTGTGTGTGTGTGTGTGTGTGTGACAGAAAGCCGGGCATGGTGGTGTGTGGCTACAGTTTCAGTTACTTGAGGCTGAAGCAGGAGGATCATGACATAGAGAGACGGTTCTTTAAAATGTAATTAAACTTTGCCAGACAGCATGCGGCTCAGCAGACAGGGCAGGGCAGTGAGAAAGCGCCGGCCGGCTGGGAATGGCCACACAGCAATCCCCTCTTCATGCCATGCTTTCGGGTTTTAGTCACGCACACTCGTGAGCCAGCCGTGTCTCTCAGAACCTGAACCACGGCGGGCCATGTGGGATCCAGCACCTTCACCACCTCGCCACAGGCTGAACCCCCAAATTTTTCTTGAGAAAAACACCAAAGTAAACATCACATAGGGTGGCCATCAGGAAGCACGGTAGTTGAGGTGCTGGACCCCCACATGGCCGACCGCAGTTTGAGTCCCAGACCTGGAGGCTTAAAAACACACCGGACACGTGTGTGTGAGTGCCCAAAATCCTGGAAGGAGAATCGAAGAGAAGGAATGGCGACGTGGCCATCCCCAGGGGCCAGGGGGAGCATTGCTCACTTCCCTCTCTGTCTCTCACTTTCCTCTCTGTCTCTCACTTTCCTCTCTGTCTCTCACTTTCCTCTCTGTCTCTCACTTTCCTCTCTGTCTCTCACTTTCCTCTCTGTCTCTCACTTTCCTCTCTGTCTCTCACTTTCCTCTCTGTCTCTCACTTTCCTCTCTGTCTCTCACTTTCCTCTCTGTCTCTCACTTTCCTCTCTGTCTCTCACTTTCCTCTCTGTCTCTCACTTTCCTCTCTGTCTCTCACTTTCCTCTCTGTCTCTCACTTTCCTCTCTGTCTCTCACTTTCCTCTCTGTCTCTCACTTTCCTCTCTGTCTCTCACTTTCCTCTCTGTCTCTCACTTTCCTCTCTGTCTCTCACTTTCCTCTCTGTCTCTCACTTTCCTCTCTGTCTCTCACTTTCCTCTCTGTCTCTCACTTTCCTCTCTGTCTCTCACTTTCCTCTCTGTCTCTCACTTTCCTCTCTGTCTCTCACTTTCCTCTCTGTCTCTCACTTTCCTCTCTGTCTCTCACTTTCCTCTCTGTCTCTCACTTTCCTCTCTGTCTCTCACTTTCCTCTCTGTCTCTCACTTTCCTCTCTGTCTCTCACTTTCCTCTCTGTCTCTCACTTTCCTCTCTGTCTCTCACTTTCCTCTCTGTCTCTCACTTTCCTCTCTGTCTCTCACTTTCCTCTCTGTCTCTCACTTTCCTCTCTGTCTCTCACTTTCCTCTCTGTCTCTCACTTTCCTCTCTGTCTCTCACTTTCCTCTCTGTCTCTCACTTTCCTCTCTGTCTCTCACTTTCCTCTCTGTCTCTCACTTTCCTCTCTGTCTCTCACTTTCCTCTCTGTCTCTCACTTTCCTCTCTGTCTCTCACTTTCCTCTCTGTCTCTCACTTTCCTCTCTGTCTCTCACTTTCCTCTCTGTCTCTCACTTTCCTCTCTGTCTCTCACTTTCCCTCTCTGTCTCTCTCTAGTGAGTGCACACACCCTATGGCAAAAATCTTAATGAAAAAAATAAAGTCACATGGGGCTGCCTCCAGAGCCTAGTGGCTAAGGTAAACCACCGGTGTTAGAGTGCCAGTTCTGGTTTGGCACGTGTGCGTGTGTGCGGGAGATGCTCAGGATAGAGGGATGGCGGAGGGGCTGCAGCGCGACCAAGGCCCACGGAGAGGCTCTCTTCCCCCCCTCCCTCCCTCTCCCTCTGTCTGTCTCTCTGGTGAATGCACGTGTGCTCTGGCAGTTAGGGAAAGTCGCCATGGAGAACAGGAGAAGCCCTGGACAGAGCTGCCTGGAGGGTGGCGAAGCCCCAGGAGAGCCTAACTCACAGGCGAGAGTGGGGCCCTTCCAGTCAGATGTGCCATCTCCCCAACCCTCTCCCCGTCCCCCCAAATGTGAGAACTACGTCCAGCCAAAGTCATTTATTTCATTCTGCTTTTCTTTACTTTTCCTTCTTTTCTCTTTTTTTTTTTTTTTTTTTTTTGCTATAGGGCATGTGTACTTGGCAGAGAGAGAGGAAAAGGAGACTTGCTTTCTTACTTTCCATCTCACTTTCCTTCTTTGTCTCTTTCTGGTCAAATTAATAATAATAATAAATCAAATTGAATAAATATAATTCTTTAAGGAAGAAAACAAGGCACCAGCAGGTTGCATGGTGGTTAAAGGCACTGGATTCCCACATAGCCGACCACGGTTTGAGTTCCGGACCTGGTGGCTTGGTTTCTTACTTTCCCTTTCTCTCTCTCTCTCTCTGTGGTCAAATTAAAAATAATAATAATAACAAATAGAATTAAATAAATAAATAATTCTTTTTTAAAAGTGACTGAAAAGCCCAGTTACTCCAGCTTGCCTAGAGTCTTGGAGTTGATCTTCTGACTGAGTTAGAGTTCCTCAGTTTACTTATTTATTTTTATGGTTCATTTTATTTTATTTTATTTATTATTATTCAATTTGACCAGAGAGAGACACACAGACAGAGTAGGGGGAAAGTGAGAAGGCAAGCCGCCAGGTCCGGGATTCAAACCACGGTCAGCCATGTGGGAGTCTAGCACCTTAACCACTATGCCACCTACCGACCCCCAGAGTTCCTCAGTTTAACAAGGGGCCGGTGGAGGAAAGAGTCCAGGCAGAGGATGTGCCTCTCATAGTACCCCATGCCAGAGCAAGCTGGCCCCGAACCACTGCCCAGCTTCTGCCTGGGGGCTGCTGGCACTGAAGTGGGTTGCACAGTGGGAGAAAAAAAAAAAAGGAAAAGAAAAAATAAACCAGGAAAGGTAAGTCAGGATAGACGGCGAACTTTGCATTTGCCACTAGTTTGGGCTTGGGGTGTGTGCACGTCACTGTGTGTAAAGCACTATTCCAGAGCGTGGGAGCACAGAGATAATTTTTGCTTTTCAAAATGAAGACTTTGGGGACCAGCAGTTGGCATAATGGCTACGTTGCTGGACTCCCATGTAGTGGACCACGGTTCCCGTCCCAGACCTGGTGGCTTAAACTCATGCCGGGTGCATGTGAACGTGTGCCCAAGATCCCGAGAGGAGAATGGAGGAGAAGGGATTGCGGTGTGGCCATTCCCCCTGGGGGGGGGGGGCTTTTTCACTC